GCCCGTCTCTTCGAATTACCGATCCAAAACAGAGATCCAAGTTAAGAAAAGTTTTTTTTTTTCTCAATTATTAAATTTTTTTTTCACAATTTCAAAATTCTGGATCCGAGATCTATCAACCCTTTGAAGAAACGAGGTTTTCAAATTTCTTCGACCCAATTTTGAGATTTATTTTTTTTTTCTCCGAAGGCCAAACTCGAGAGGATGTAAGAAGAAAGGGAGAGAGAGAGCGATTAATGATTAATATAAGCGGAGAAGAAAGGAAGAGAATCTAACAGTTGAGGATGGAATTTAATCTTGACCGTACACGTCAGCGATCCGAGGAGGCGTGATTCGGTCAGCACGACGTGTGAAATGACGAAAATAGACATCTCTGAACATTCTTTACCACTTGTGTGTTTCATGGATCCAACTTTTTGACTCGAAAGTTAGTCGGTTAACTTTACCTTATCTCCTTGGAGTAGAAAGAAAGAACTTCGTACTGTACTTGTCCTTTAGTACAACTTACTAGTGTTATGTATAAACACCAAAGACAAAATAGCTAAAGAAATTTATTGTTATAGATATGCCATAGGCGTGGGTTTTGGGGCTTTGGTTTCCTCTGTTGAGGTTGATGTTTCCTTCTGTGGGCTTAGGTTCTCTTCTTAGTGTATCTCGAATTTTACCTTTTAGTAGTTCATCTCGTTGCTTTTAATTATCCTGATTTTGTTATGTTGTTATGGAGTTTGAAAGGCTTTTGCGGTTATCGTTTTGTTCGACAGTTATTGAGTTAGTTTTTTAGAAAATTTGCTCAACCGGAAAATTCTAGACAAATGCAATGCATATAAGTAGACTCATCTTGCTCAGGGAATGCCATGTTGTGTTATCGAGTTATCACCAAATTGATAGAAGTCCGTCTTCATGAATTGTTGTACGGGAATTTCTTTTGTTGATCCTTCAAAGGACTCGAAACAAGTATTATCATTGTGTCATCATAAACTTTTATCCTCTTCGGTTTGTAGGTTCAAGGAGAATGATACTAATCTCTGTGCGGGTTATTATTTGTGTCTCTTCATATGTGTAATCCGTTTTGATTCAGTAATATCAATATATTTAAAGTGAAAAAAATATGCCAACTAATTTAACATAGTAATAGTATCCTCCAATCGACACTAATTTTGTTTGGACCACCAAATCTTTATCTTGCTATATTTTGTTCTCTCTTTCGTTTGTTTAATTTTTGATTCACCACATCTCTATTGGATTCTTTCAGTTCTTGACATTAATTCGTTAATGTAGTATTATTGTCTTCAAAAATCTATGGTGGTACTAATGGAGTTAACTACATAGACGGTGTGCGTGTTATCTCATATGGTGTTCCTTTTGTACTTATTTGTAATGTTGTTGCTTGTGGTGATATGGTAACAGGCTAACAACATCAAAAGAGTCATATTTTGTATTAGGATGTCATTTTTTCAAAACAAGATTCTATATGGTTAGTGTGTTTCTTTTGATTTTTGTATGTTCATATGCATAACCTTTTCTTTTCGCTCTCAAGTAAAATTTATTTTATATCATCATTCATGACAGTTCATCGATTCTCATGTTCAGTTATACAGTGATCCTTTTCAAATATAGGATTCCAACATTTGTTTTTGCAAGAATGGACTTTAATCATCACCAACAACCAATACAAAATAATGACGTAACAAAATCATAACTTGATGAAACCATTTGTGAAAGTAGTGTAGTTTTTTTTTTTTTTTGGAGTACATTGGAGTTTTACCAAATGGATTGTCAAAGACTAAGACCATCTACATTGAGACTGTTGAAAAAATAATTAAGCAGGTAAAAACTTGTAATGAAATTGTTGAAATCTCGGTTAAATACAGGTGGATTCAAAAGAGTTGAAAATATTCAACTTGTTGAATGCAGAAAATGGGACCAATGCTGCCACATGGCAAAATTTGAGAAGACGAATTGAGCGCGCGCAAAATATTGGACAATGTAGATTGGAACATCTATCCTGTTTATATTGGTTTTTCAGATTATTGATATTTTCTCTCATCCGAACTTTGAAATCTATTATTTCATACTAAAT